ATCATAAAAAGAACAAATTAACAATAAAAATACTTTGGAATAAATAATAATAATTATTATTATTTTTTTTTTTCAAATTTACACATTACTTTGTCATAAATTAACATATAAACATCAAAACAATTCGATTTCACGACTGTTACAGAACAAATCAATGTTCACCTAATTATAATAGTCATAAGCATTTATTATACATAAGTTGTTATTTATAAGTTTTAAAAAAAATCTGCGATGCAATATTACTTTATGAAAAATATTAAATTTTATTAGATTTCAAATATTACTAAATAAAATTAATTTCTTACTGTTATCGGTGAACAGTATCCATCAAAAATGTCACCGTTTCTATTCAGTTGTACGAATGACGTTGAATTTTGAACCGCTGAGTTAAAAATTTCAGTATTGTATTTTCATTTGAAATCATTTACATCTGTTAACAATAGGTACATGTAATCGAAGTACTGTTTATTGGACATTTAACATAGATTAGATGGAAAATAATTGTCTCTCGTTAAATCAAATACATTCTATACTGGTTATGTTCATTAGATGTAAGATATTGAAATATTCAAAATACAATGCATATTACACTCTAAAAAATACAGTTATAATTATAATAATATTTGAAAAAAATTAAAAATGGTGAATATAAACTATATAAAAATTATATCATGTCTCAGGCAAAAATGTTTATTCTATCAAAAAGTTTTAAGAAATATTTTACTGTCGTATTTATCTGTACATATCTATGTTTTACATATTATTTCGTGTAGTAAAAAAATAATAATAATCATAACAATGAAAATAACAATACAATTTTAATTTTAATATAACTTAAAGAATATAATTTTAAATACTTTTTTCTTTTTTATAAACTGCTAACCATTTATTTATTAATACTATAAGAATATACTGTTTATCAAAATTGTCTGCGGAAAATAAACATAACTGTGACCCAAAATCTGATCGTTTGATTTTTAAATTAAAAATCTATATGTTTAAATATTTTTGAACTACAATTGAATAGCGATTTACATTTCCTTTACTGAGTTTTACGTAATAGAACACAATTAAAATTTGATAGTAAATCTTTCTCAAAATTTGTAAATTTTTATTAATCACCATATCTCAGATGAAATATGTTAACCACTACAGTACTTTACTTTTTTAATCATTTTATACGTAATACGTATCATGTAACCCAGTTTTTTATTAAGTTAAAATAAACGTTTGATAATATTTTTCTGATTTTACAACAAACCGACTTTACGTAGACAGTCTCAGGTATATAACAACCTTAACCATGAAGGTTATATTTACATGTAATATACAGTATATGTATAAAAATTATACAGTATAGTCACAAGTTTTATACGATAAGTATTTTTTTTTTTTTTAAGAAAATAAAATTATTGTATTGCCAAAAAAATTAGTGACTTTTATGCGTTTTAATACATTATTTACATTAAACGTACGTGCTTAATGTTATTTATTTGTCTAAAAATAAATTAACATACACGTGGATCAAAAACAAATTTGCAAACCACGAATAATTATTAAGTTATTATAAATGTCTAATAACTTGATAACTTATTAAGTTATTAGACATTATATTTGTTTATGGTGCTATGTTGTTTAGATTTATACATATTTTATATTTCTTCGAAAGAACACAACAAGTTATGAAAATAAAATGATCTATCTATATACATTTTACCAATCCCTAATATTATTAACCTTAACATTTTCATAGAGTGGAGACCACCATCCTTTAAGTTGTTTTCATGATTTCAATACTTATTTTTCATAAATAAAATTAATTTTAAAAATGAGACACCCTATCACTAGGCAGTGACTGTTAATCGAAATTGATGCACAATCGAAAAGAAATGCGTGTGATATTCGAACATTTTACAGAGGATATTATAATGTAATCTATTTGAAAACAATTTTGCACATACAAATATATTATTTACATTTTATGTTAAAACAAATATAAATATAAAAATGTTTGATAGGGGTGTATGCGTTCATTTATCAGTACAGAAATAATAATTACAGTTGAACAAATATATATTTATTATTTTTAATCGAAAATAAGTATAACCTTGCAATTTATTTTTGGTATCATGTAAATCATTAACTAATGAACCATTCACCATAAGGTATTATTTAATATAATAGTAATATCTACGTGGTAGGGTAGTTTTTTTTTTTCATTTTAACAATTAAATTAAATTAAACACGCCGCTCCGAGATCATGGTAGCTGGTAAGATTATAAATTACATTATATCTGTCATTGTGCCTTCGTTGAGAATTCAATGGGAAAACCGAAAACAACACACCGGCAGCGGAGGCGAGTTAATGCTTCTATATGTCCCAACCTCTACGGTCCCTGATCGATGATGAATGACTGAGCCACGTCGTACATCGTTATGATATAAAGTTACACTATCATAATGTATACCAATATAACTACAAACAACCCATTATTACGATGCTGAAAAATAAAGTTATAAGACGAGAACAGTATGCAACGCAATGACCTATTAAAATATGTGTATACACCAATAACAATGTGTCTAACGAGATAATAATCAGATGCCAAATATTCTCACCACGACCTCTAACCATCGTAAGACATTTATTTATTTATTTATTTTTTTGTTTTTTATTAGAATATACGCCATGCGGCTTTTGAGCTTACAGTTCACCTAGAGATTAAAGATTTTTAATTTAGTTTTCATCAAAAATATAACCGAATGTTTTTTATACATATTTGTATGACTTTCGCAACAATGCCGTCTTCGCTCAACTAAATATTATTTGACTGTCAGGCTTAAATAATAAGTTATAATTAAAAAAATATATATTAAATAATATAAAACTTAACAATTAAATTCTTCGACGATTACTTCTTTAGCAATAAATTTGATTAAAAACAAGTTATCAACATACGGTGGCTACGTGGTTATTTATTGTTATATTTCCATGATAAAATATATTTGATATATTTTTAAATATAATATATTATAAGTAGGTTTGATGATATCGTTTTTAGTTCTAAATTGTTGTTATAATTTGGAAATTATTAGGCAATGTGAAATGATAACCGTACTTTTGCTTCTAAAAGGGCCCCTAAACTCCCAGTGTCCTAAGGTCTCTGCATAACGACAGACGGCTCTGCTTCCGCCGGTAACGAATTTTCAAGTGAATTTTGGTTTTATATACACCGTACATTGTAAGATATAACGATCTTATGCATTCTTGTATTCCACTCATTTCTAATGTACACTTATCCCTTTTCAATACAATTTTTTTTCCGTGGCTTATTCCGATATCATCAGATAGCAGACTACTATTATTCATTTATCTCAACTCGCGAAATGGTTTATAATTTTCCATTTGTACTGCGATGTTATCAAAAGTTCTTATTCCAAACGTTATTAAGACACAAAAATGCATAAGCGTCTCTTTAATACCTTACTCTTGGGAATTATTTCGTGTACTATTATGTTTTTCTCTTGTGAGGCTATCATGCATAGTTGTTCGTGTCATTGTTTCAATGAGCTTTTATTTTGATTTTGCATGATCGGCGATTTTTTAAATATATTTTCAATGGCTTGAAACATTTTTAATGATTATTCGTTCGTAAATCACATAATTTAACTTTATTTAAGACGAACTAATATTTTATCCATCGGCAAAATTATAAAATTTCAAACACATTTTAAAAGTTCATGAACTGATATTTGTATATTTATATAAGTATATTCATATAATTTGCCTATCAATATTCATAATTAATATTAAACGTAAGAATGAACAAACGAATATAGATTTTAAATGTATTAAATAATTTTTACACATTTTATTACAGAAATGTTTTAACATTCATATTTTGAACTCATAAAAATGTGTGTGAAAATATTTTTTTAGATTGTAACTCGTTGTGTACTAATGCTATCACGTGGAATATACTCTTACTTGAACTTTCTCAGCAGAAATACATTTTTAAGTTAGTTTTTATAGTTTAATCAATAGTTCTTGTTTTAAGTTGAACATTATGTTCTCTACTTTAATAGGGTCAACAACTTTTATAATACAATATTCACAATTGCCGTTTGTAATGTCACGCAAATCTGAGATTCCACAAAAACAGATAGCATGGTTAATATTTGTTAAACATTTAATTTGGGCAGAAAGTTCAGATTTTTTTCTAAAAAGAAATTATTAATAAAAATAAGTGATTTGTTTTGGTTTACATTATATATTTTCCAATTACTATCGAAATGTAATATATTTATTTTATTATGTCACTAAAAATACAGTACTTACTATACTTAGTACTTAAATACCTTAAAATTAAATGATTGATTAAGAAAATCATAACTGAAATCTAACGGTTAGGTTAGGTTAAATTTTGCTTGTAAGCACAAATCGTATCTGACTTAATATATTACTTATAATATTGATGCAAAATGTCAACTAACAGTAAACTATTAATAGAAAAATAAAATTCTATCAACATCAAAATTATGCACTATTTGACTTACTCATAAGATCATATTATCATTGAGTAGTTAAAAATGGTTATAAATAACCCCATCTCCAGATCCATTTAAAACTTATCAAATGTCAAACTATTATTTTAAATGTCATTCCGTCATATACTAAATTCGATTTTTATTACGAAATTAAAAATAATTAAATTTCTGAATTATAACAAATACAAGCAAGATAATTATAAATTATAAAATTGATAAGTTTAAAATATGATAATTTTTTTTTTTTTTACTTGATGCAATTTTTGTTTTGTTTTTATTAATAATATATTTTTTACTGTACTCAAATGTATGTTTTATTGAGATAAAACTGCGAGTAGTAAAATATATCCTTACAAAAAATATTTCGTTTTACATAATTTTACATTATCGAGTACATTGAGTATTAAATAATTTTGTTTATAAATAAATATTTTATTTTTTTTTTCCAACAGACCACGTATTTTGCCAGATGACCCTAAAGATGGCAAAACAAAATCTTATTTAGAATGTAATTTGGGTGAAGTAACGCTACATCACCATGTGCTTCATAAAGAATCACTTCCAGCTGGCCATCTTTACACCACTGCGGCAGGCCGACAAGAATTGTGCAATACCAAAAACGTACCTGATCTATTGGATACATTAGTCCCATCAAAGAGTCGTCGAATCTCACAAACACTACCTAGGTAAGTTGTCATTTTCAACATAAAAATCAATCAAATAGTAAAAAATTTAAATACAATATTTATACTGCATATTTATAAATACATATTTTAAATTTAAAACGAAAAGAATTGTGATTAGGTATTTGTTATTAGTTAACATCTGATTAATTAACTCGGTTTTTATATTGTAAAATAAACATAATAAAATGCAATTAATTTAAATGACTATTTAAATTATTAAATAAATGACTATAAACCATTTGAGTTAATAATTTTTAATTTTTATTTAATTTTTTATAATTTTATTATTATTTAATCGTTGTTTCACCAAAATTATTTTGATGTGTGGTCGATTAAAAATTAATAATAAAAAATTAATACAGTAAAAAAGGAAAAATATGTAACTGTGAAAATGATTAAATAAAATAAAAATGCTCTTTTAAAAACATATTATAAATTGACGGTAAGAATGAAAGTGCGACATCGAACGATTTAGTTTATATAAGCTAGTTTTAATCAAAAGTCCATGCCATTTATAAATTATGTTGACCATGCGAATGAATGAATTCTGTAAAAATGCCAGATTTCAATACAACCGATACTGTTAATAATAAGCGTTTTTTTTTTTATTTTTTAAATTTTTAACTCTACAGATCAACATTTAGTTCAAACTATAGAAGAAATACCATGTACGCACCAAGACCATCAGAAAGTCAATCGCCTTTATTGTTAGGAAGTCGCAGCAGTGGTGGCAGCAACACCAGCCGGAGCCAATTGTCTTTCGACTCATCAATATCATCGGATCATCCGAGGTACGATACAATTAGACTCAAGTACAATATGATTTTCTATCAATATTATGTATATATATAAGAATTATGAAAATTATTCAAAAAAATTCTACGTAAATCGACGCCATAAAAGTTATAAATACCATAGAAATATACCTCTATCACTATCCACCTTTCTTCTTGATCGTTGAATTTAATATTTGACACACCTCAACAGTTCTCGCATTATTTTGTTCTATTCGGTATATGAAATATTTTACTTATTTTCATGTGCATATAAATATGAATTAAATATTTGTTTAAAAATATACCGATTTCATAGGATGTTAAACAAAAGATCCATTATTTACATTTTCGTAATTCGAAGTATTCTTCGTACCGTTAAAATAAACAAATAATTTGAGTATTTTTTACATTTTAATCTATTCAAATAATACTTTATTGAACTTTATATTAACATTAATTTTATAAACATGTATATTTAAATGTATGATATTTTTATTTAATGATATTGAAAGCATGAAAGCTTATAAATTTTTTAATTATCAAAAATACAAACTTTTAAATGTTTTGTTTAATAAATTACGTTTTAAAAATTGAAGTTGAAATTGTATGTACTAAAATAGATTGATTTACAGTTATTTTTCATAAATATTTGAATAGTTATCATTATATTATCTTTTAAGTATATAATATTTTCCTAAAACAATAAGAACTTTACAATGTACATGATTCACTATAAAATATAACTACTCATAAATTGTAAATATCTATATAAATAAAGCTACGTAAATTCAAATCATATTTTGATATTATAATTATATTAACCCTTCATATTGGTTTAAAAATATATTTAATTTACTACATCATGTCAAAGAAAATTGAAAACATCCCTAAACTGAAAACATAATTTTAAAAAATTAATTTATACTTCTTTTAATGGGCACAATCAATAATTATTATTTATCTTTGCATGAATAATAACAATATCAAGTTTTACAATATTCACTTAGTTAATACATTTTGCAAACTAAATAATAGTATCATAATATTCTATGAAAGTTTACTTTACATTATCAATAGCTTAACATGTTCATAAATGTATGCAAACTTTCTTATATGTTAAATAAAAAATGAATATAAATATAAAATATTTAATAAAAATGTTTAGTTCTAACATATTTCAAATTTAAAGTTTTAAATAGTAATTACTACATATTTAATAAAACCATACATACGAGTATAATCTAAATATTTCGAGCGTTATCATAATATTATTTCTTAAATTAAAGAATTGGTAATTAAAATAAAAGTTAATCACCAGTTTTCTTTCTTAATATTTTATAGTAATTTTTAAAAATTAATGTTTTAATAAAACCGTCAGGTTATTGGATCTCTTTTTATTTTTATTTTGTAAAAACTACTAATTTTAAGCGCTTATAAGTCATTATTTCATGAATAATTATTATATTAAGTAATTTTTAACTTCTTTTAATCATTGAATATATATTTATATAAGTATGAAATATAACTACGATTCTTAACAGGAAATTGAGTTTCTTTTTAATTAAAAAGAAATATATAAGTATAATATATTTATTTAAATATAGTGTATGCGTAAGGAATGTAGAAAATCGAGACGAGTGGAGAGTTAAGACAAGGATGGCCAACCCCAAATAGTTGGACGAAAGACAAAGGAGAAGAAGAAGAATATATTTATTTATTAATTATAATACTGTAGTCATATTTTAGGCAACTTAAAAGATTATTTTTGCTTATTTTTTTAACATTAGCAAAAAATACATATATAAACGAAGATTAATTGTAATTGTATTAATGTTCGTGTTTGTAATTTTAGTGATTATCTTAACGTTAAAGTGTTAAATCATTTCCATGAGCACCACATAGTTCTTCATTATAACTATTTGTCCAAAGACAGTTTAATTGAAAGTCTGGTAAAAACATAACTGAGCAGAGTAAAATTAGAAAACTCAAAAATATACGTGTACTTATTAGAAATTAATGACTCCAAAAAATTAATTCTCTTCATATAATATTCCAAAGTAGATAATTTGTAAAGCTATTCAAATTAAAACTTCTATGATTAAACTTATAATAATATACAACTGAATATTATAATTAATTATAAAAAATGCATACAATATATTATGTGCTACTATAAAAATTATCGAACGAGTTCGAAAAATGCTGTATATAATATTTTTGGCTTTTACTCAGTTTCTTTGCATTATATATTAGAAGAATCACAAATTTATGCCACCGAGAAACGTTCGGTTCTATTGCCCAAGTTAATGTCATTGGGATGACATTAGTGACGAAACGTGTTTATCATTACTAGTTCATCCTGTCTGCCAATTACGGTCGAATCAATAAGGCCGATGGTCAATAATAAGAATTACAAATTTCCGTAAAATCATCACCCCTACTTTTGTATTATATACATTTAATGGTTAGAAATGTTTGTGACTTTTCAGCGATGAAAGGTCTTCGCTATTACAGCGGTGTGATATCCTAAAGCCTTGAAAAGGTTCCCAATAATATATTAAAGTTTCGATCTAATACTAAAACATCATATTTTCCATAGTTTAACGTACACTATTTACGAATAATAATTGAAAATAATCGAAATAATCAAAAACGTGTTTAAATAAATATATATATATATTTTTTTTATATTTATATAAAAAAAGAAACGCAACGCCATAAATATATAGTTTAGTGTTTATTTCTCTAATTAAAATGTGGTTGAAAGCGTTGTCTTCTTACGGCGCCTTCGTCACTAGTGAGTTCACACTAACGTTCGTGAAATTCCGCTCATAAATTCCATATTTAAACCGGGGTACAGTTTAATGTAATGGTTTTGCAGAACTTAAACCGAACATCAATAGTCGTGGGATTGTTTGATTTTGAAAATTTAACAAAGCAAACTTTATCATAATCTCAAGAACGACGGTGAGTTGCGTAAGCACATCTAAACCTTTTGTTGTAGTTTCCACCGCAAAGTTAACCCGTTCCGTGTGTACTCAGCGGAGAACCGAATATCGTGTACGCGAAATCACGTTAACGTGTTCGCCACTTTCCCCTGCTCGTGGTGTTTTTGTTCATGTACGTTTGTACAAATACATGTGTACGTACACAAATACAACATAATTTTTCCGGGTGAATACGCTGCGAACCGTCACCGTTACGATTGAGATCGGCTCATCCCAAAGTTATGCATTGGTAGTAGGTACAACATACCCGCGTGTCCAATACACAATTATTAAATTACGCGTACGCGGACCGTCGCGCGCTCACAGTCGTTCGGAGGATCGTAGAAGTATTAATTTTTAACCCGTGATATTCTTTCCATAACCGTTGTGTTTCGTCCATCTAAAATGAGATAGGTTTGTTATAATTTTGAATATTATTTATCGCGGATCGGAAAAAAAAAAAAAAAAAAGAAAAAAATGATGCGATATAAATCGAAAACCATGTTACGTGCAAAATGTATCACGACGTGTATTCTGAAGCTGTTTCATCAATGTAAACCTGAAACCGTTGGAAAAATTACACGCGTTTATACCGTCAAAACATTTTCGCTTATCAACAGAGCAGCTCAACGTTATATTTTCGTAACGTTGACGGCGGCGATATCAAATGTCAAGGGCGATTCTTACGATTCGTGGCATTGTGCTCGAATCATCATGCTCCGGGTGGCTTTCGATTGTGCTGCTCGTAGTCGGTATTTTTTAACGCACTTGCACGTGTCGTCCGCATGAACTTTGTCCGTAGAACGCCTGGTGCACAAAACCCGTTGGCGACACTGAACGCCGTATTCACCCTAAAGGCACGTTGAGCACAAGCACAGGGATCCTGCCGGCGGAGGTTTTAACAAATATAATTATTATGCCTAAAGGCCGTGTTCTCACCAAAAGCAACTGATGACGGCAACGCGATTGAGATTCGATTCTAGTTATACTTAAGTTGCCCAGTTGTTCTCATCTAAAATATTAATATGAAACTTCAATGCAACTTCAATGCATATTCAGTTATAAAAGTGTCTTCATCCGATGAGGATATGGTTGTAGCATTTATGTATTTGAGGTATCAATCAATTAATCAAACGTTTTTGATTTTTTGACAACATTTTACTAACTAGAATTTTTCGTTTTCTTTGAAATGTCATTCCATGCTTATTCTTTTATGTCTTGTCGAGTGCAATTAGATGATGTTATATCATAAAGACGTGGGGGACTTTCTATAAGTTGTATGAATGCCATATTTTCTTCTTGTTCATGAAATTGAATAAATTGATTATAAACCAGAGTAGGTAATAATCAAATAATTGAATATATTCACAAAATCGATGACTAAATCGAACTATTCACACTAGCAACTAGACAAAGAGACTGACACGTCCTGTTGCGATCTGTGAGAACACGTCAATTTAATAATACATGTCGCGTTGCCGTCATCAGTTGCTTTTGGTGAGAACACGGCCTTACGTTGTAACATATTAACGGCACCTATCCCGACCGTCGGTCAGGGTCAAAAAATAAGTTATACATTTAAAGAATAACGTTCAATAGTATTCGACTTAACATTTTAAACTCTATAAACAATACCGAGGTTACGTTTTTAGCGATAAATTCGATCAACCGCGCAAGTTCTACCGAGATCGTTTGTTCGGTACCGAATTCGATGTTTTCGTCCGCGCGATGGAAACGGTCTTGAACGCGTCTCCGTCACAACGAGCTGCCGGTGTTCGACGAGAACCGATTGTTGATTTTCATTTTTCTCTCTTGTTGCAGACGACTGGCGGCCGGTCAGAAGTCGAACAGTTACCTGAACCTATCGTCCGCGGGCGTCGACGGCGGCTGCGGTCGGCTGTCCCCGGGCGGATACCATCAGCACCATCCGTCGTACTACTGGACGCCGCCGAGCCTGCCGTCCTCGCCGGCCCGCGAACGTCGGCTTCCGGCCACACCGGTGGGCCGTGGCGCCGCCGGACCGGTCGCGACAGCCGAGACGCCCATACTGGACCCGCTGTCTTCGAGGCGGCGGACGTACGGCGGCGGCGGCGGCGGCGGCGGTCACCGCAACGGCCACAACAACAACCAGTTAACCGGTTCCAACCACTCGCTGCTGTCGTCGTCGGACGGCGCGTCCGTCACGTACGACTATCACGCGGCGCAGCTGGACATGTTCCTGGAGGAGTACAAGACGCTGCGCAAGGAGCTGACCAAGATGCAGCGCACCTGCGACACGCTGCGGTTGTCCAACGCGTCGCTGGCCTCGTCGACGATCGCGTTGGACGCGGTCGGACGTCCGGCCAAACCGGAACCGTCGGCCGCGGCCACCGCAGCCGCCACGTCGTCGGCGAACAGGACCACCGCGCCCAAGTCCATACTGAAGAACAAGAACCAGGCCACGTACGTTTACCGGGCGGACGGCGACCGGCGCAACAGCTATCACCTACTTGACCCCGCGCCCGACGACATCTATCTTAGCTGAGCCCGTCCGGCAATAATTTCTCCTTATCGGTTCCCGTGTCCCCACGCCCTACGACAAGCCTGCTCGGTTACATCTCACCGACCGGCTGACCGCGTTGTCGCGATGTTGTAACCACGTTCACCATCCCCGAAACTGATCCCGTAATCTTCTCCCCCGACGGGTTGTTCCGTGTTACATAACCGTGCAGTTCACTCCTTTTTCCGTACCCTTTCTAACGGCTCCGATCGCGGTCTGACCGCTATTACGAACGCGGAACCGTTTTCTTCCACTTGTCAACTGTTCATGTCATCGTTACCCGGCAGATCGCATTATAATAGTAATAATGGTAAAACAAATCCAACGAATAATAAAACCGTTTGGTGCTTAGAGAAATAATTTTTAACAAGTATTTCAAATGATCTCCTTTTCGTAACGCAAGTTCATTAGTCTTTGAGATGCTGAACCGTGGCCGGTGTATAACGATTATTTATGTTTTTTTTTTCTCTAAACTATATCGTGCATATGACACAAATTCTGGCAGTGGGTGCAGATCACGAAAAAAAAAAAGTAAGCTTAACACAAAAATGCCGTGAATAATTTGATTTATCGTCTGTCCCAAAAAAATGAAAAAATAAATAATTTCTAATCGGTTTATAATATTTTCGTACGACCACTAGGTCGAATATTGTTTAATCAGTACGTTAAACACGACGATGATTTTTATGGAACGGATAAAAATATTGAAATGAAATTCAACCAGAAATGTTTAGTTATTGATACAGCATTGTTTCCATCACATTTTCTCTTTGTCTTTCATTGTCATTTCTTTGTTTTTTCATTCGTAACTCGGTCGTTATAAAATTACACACAATTTTATCGAAACAATTTAATCAACCCGTATGAACACGAAAACGTTTAGAGCAGAAACGTATTTAATCGTTTATTATCCTTTGTTGGATAATTATATTACATTGTTCATTCCAATTTGTTTTCTTTAAAAATAACGCCAACGCAAAATATTTGTACGTCATATCGTTGAGTTATTAATTATTGTTCCGATTCCGTGACGGGGATAGTATAATATTAATTAAATAGTTTCAGTTATTTGCTATGTGTAAAAGTTGTTGTGCACTAAAAACGATTGTAAACACTTTTTGTAATTCATAACCCATACGCGGGAGGTCTGTAAAAAAAATATTGAAATTAGTACAGATATTCATAGGATCCAACAATAGTTTTGCTTTGTTTTTTTTTTTTTTTTAATTTAAACCGAAAAAAATTATTTGAAATAAATTAATAATTAAATCAACGCCTAATTTTGTTATTTTTTAAAATACAATTGTCGACATTTCAAAATGTATTATGCACCATAAAACAACAAAATGCTGTTATTTTTAGTATAAAGTTTAATGGTGCCGATGAAATACACGAAACGATAAGTTTTGATTCCAAAACAAAGATACTTAAAAATATATTGTTAAAAAGACTTACGCGTAAAATTATACTGCAGTATAAACTTTCAATTACAACTTTAATTTTATAAACATTCAAAACTATCTTTACATAACAACGAAATTTTGAAGAAAATACTTAAATTTAAATACCATCATATTTATTTAATATATCGTTTAATTAAAATAAGAACCAAATTATGAAATTTACCACTATGAGTAAATTTAAGAGGGTAATATTTGTCTATATAAGTATTATATATTTATATTATTTATTATTATAATAAATGATTTAATATTGCATCTGTAAACATTGTTAAACATATTACTATACAGTATGTTAAATTGTTCTAAGTTAACAGTATACTTATGTTATTATTATTATTATAATTATTACTATGTTAAGCGTGTTGCAAAATACTATAATCGTTAACAAATAATTACATATTATTATAAGTATAATTATCCTATGATCATAATCTAATATTCTATCTATTGTAAAAACATTATCATATTTGCATGGTTATGTAAATATAGTTGTGTCAACAACTATTATGAAAAAAATAAATTATTAAGTAGTAATATTTTTTCCGACGTTTATTTTTTTTCTATATAATCATCTACATTACGAGTATTATAAGAAGATTCAATAATTTAACAATCAATGTATATTGATAAGATTTTAAGGTAATTTTCACTCGAAAGCCAGTGAATTGTATGATACAATCAGCTAGAGTAAAAATTATATTGTGCGTAAATTAAAAGTGAGGGTTGTTGGTACTTTGAACTTACGTTGAAAATCACAAAATATGGCGACTGATACAAAACCTATCATATATTTATATTATACTATTATAGTTGATTACAATAACAATGTTAAGATGGATGTCATTCGTTTAATGTATAGTATTTAATTTTAAAATAATATTTTAACAAATTAAAAATTACTAACCAACGTTATAACGTATATTTATTAACTTTAACTTAAATTTTAACGGTTAAAAATTATATTTTATTTTTAATAACTCCATACCAATGTTTACCTATATTAATTTCTTAAAAGTATAAAATATAATTTGCAATGTTGCTTATAAATAGTGGTACTATTCGAAATTAAAATATACATATATCATACGGTTAACACATTAATTATATTAACGAAAATAATTAATTCGATGTTTTAGAAAACTATTGTAGCCAGAAACATCAATTTTATAAATAATTTAATCTGAAACGTTGAAAAATATATTGGTATTGAGCAATGAGTTTTTTCGATAGCTGAGTTTTTGAATGATTTAACTGAACTAAAAGTTTCTCCAAGTATCTTATTAATTAAAAATGTAATACACAAAACTATTTTAAAAAGTAATTTATAGATTTTCTCAAGGCTTTCCTAAAAATAAAATAAAAACTTAAAATATGTTGAATTTATAAGCTAACACGATTTTCCTAATTATATTATTCCTCGTGATAAAATTACTAATTTTGTATTTTATATTATAACGGAAGTTTTTGTGGTTTTATTATGACTAAATAATATTTGGCCTTTCATCCTCTTAAGTGTTTTTAATGTTGAATTATGTGTTAAAATTTAATTTGAAAATTATCCATTGTATTAAGTTATGTTACAGTTATTTTGCATATAGATGTATAAATTTGCAAATAGTCATAAGTCATCAAATATCAAAAAGTGAAACATAGTTTTAATTATTTTGAAATATTTCAGAAATTCTTAAAAAAATATAATTTTAGTAATATGAATACAGATCAATAAATATTTAAAATATCTAAAAACTTGTTTTTTTTTCTATTTTCTGTTTGAATCGAGAACCAAGCAAGTGCTATTTATCACACTACTGCCACTCGGTTCCCATAATTTTTTAATCAATCAAATGTATAATGTTTTACAAACTGGTCCCGCATTCAGTTGACCGCGCAATCATAAAATCAAATATCAACTGAAGTGGAACCCCGACCGCGCTACGAGGTTATGTCACATGTCATATCGTCGTCTTCGGTTGGATGAACATTCGCGGCTTTGATTAGCCGTGATCGTCGACCCTCCCGCGGTGTCATAGATGAAGTGTTAAACGTTGTGGGTGGTGGCACTTTCACCGTTCTCGCGGGACGAGTTGACTGTTCGTTTTTCTCCCCGTCACAGCACTCGCCAGTCATAGGTTCGCGAACTATTTGTCCTCTTACTTTATGGTCCGGCTCGCAGAACCTGCCGACCTGGTCGTCGCCTTCTAGGATCCGGTCCCTCTACTTCCCACTCGTCCACCACTTTAATAGACAGGATTGTCTCTGCCATGTCCAGGAACGCCTAACTGTCTCACGACCATGAGGATAAAAGACGCGAGTATCGACCAAGATCCTCTTCTCTTCCTGTCAGATCCCTAGTACCACAGAGCGATTTCTCTTCGGAAAAGTAGCTTTGACTGGAGTCTCTTTAATCGAAACCCGTCATTTTTACGAACGTTATTGTTTCCTCGGGAATATGGACTTTTGACCGACAATCGAAATATCGACAGGGACAATCGACCGACATTATACATACTCTGCATTACATGTATTACAGTATATTTTTTTTATAAAAACTTCAATATTATGTAATATGTACTCGATCAATAGAGGGATATCGAATTAATCATTGTGTGTATTTCATTTATATTAACTGGGGCAGTGGTTCTCAATCTTTTTAGGACCACGACCCAAATTTTCTTCCAAAAATCTATCATGACCCCATAGTTTTACATTTACAGAATCAATAAAAATAATTTCAAAAAAACAAATTTTTTTCTATTTTATTACTTATTTACTACTTTATAATAATAATATAATACTTAATTAATAATTAGCCGTATGTGATGAATGTGCTTGTTTCTTACAATCTGTATGATTCTCGTGACCCCCTAAAAATTGACTCGCAACCCCCTAGGGGGTCGTGATTCACAGTTTGAGAAACGCTGAACTGGAGTACACCAAGTAATCGCTATGTATGACGATAAACATATAATTAATGTATGAACAAATGACAGAGATAACTTGTTTTATTTATTTTTTATAAATCTTATAACAATATTATTATAGTAGAACCTCTCTATCCGTCACCTTCGGAGCTGGGGGTGAAGTCGAATTAATAGAATATAAAGAAACAATTGAAAACAATTTGTTACCAGATTTATTTATTAAATTCTTTTAAATATTATTTTTAATTACATACATACTCGTATATTAAATTAAATAAATAATTAAATAATAAAATAAATGAAAAATAGATAAATAGTAAACGGACAATTAATTTTATAAATATATCTAGTCACATACTATAAATTGGAAAATCTATATTCATATCGACAATACTATTGTTGGATTAACCAGAGTGGCGGACTAGCCGAGGGTGGACGAGAAGGGTTCTACTGTAATATTATTAATTAAGATATAGCAGTCTACTACAAATAAACCGTCCCAAATTATTCAGACCACATACTCTGATATTTCAGAAAAAGACTCTTTAAGTAAATAAATATTTCATTCAAAATTAAATAACGAGATTAAATGTCTTAAATTTAAAATTAGTTAGTTAATAGCAACTAAAACATTTTTAGTAAAAGAAATAGCATAAAAATAATAAATGTATCTAAACTATATTTATAAAATCAAATAAAATTGCATTTAAAATAAGTTTAGAGTGATTACTGTAATAATAATCAATTTGGATTTTAATATCAACGATCGATTTATTTAATTCAAATTGTTTGTTTTTTTTTATAACATACAGCGCTATCTAATCGTAACCATTAGAGTTCGATAGTAAAATATATTCCTTTATTTAGTCACGCATGAAACACTTCTTATTGTCAACACTATAAGACGCAATATGAATAGTATTCTGGCAAATATTGTACATAATATATATATTTATAATATATCAACATATTATGTTGCTCTATCAAATAAATTGATACTCAATAAAAAGTATCTCAACATATTGATTTATAACAAAATATTGGCTCAATAAAAAATAAAAAATCATTATCTATAAATATATAGCCCAGTACGGACCAATTATAATATAATATATATATATATATTATATATATATATATATATATATATTATATTATAATATATTATATATTATAATATATTATTTCTACCAAAAATTATAGA